ATTTTCACAAAAAAGTTCTCAATTGACCAATTGTTTGTTTTTACCGAAATTATATAATCATAGGAAATTTAGTATTTTGTATCGAAATACAAATACTACGTTGTTTACGTTTGTTACATAAACGATATATTACTGCATATTAAACGCAACTTTCAGCGTTGTTTATTATCTAATATGCTCTAAATCCATTATAAAAATGTTTTTAAAGATATGTTTGACCTTTCTTATGAATAAAGAATATTGATTTTTTAGGTTTAATGTCATAAACAACAACATAAAAACTATTGATTCAAACTAACATACAACACATACTGTCTACAGAAATTATCATAATTGTGAAAAAATATGAAACATAAACAAAACAACTGAAGATACATTCAGGTTATATTTGCTCCCCCAACGAGAATATGGTAAATGTACAGGTTACATTATCATATACTTCATGTGTATCATTAACAATCTAGATAAAATATTCCGCTCCTATTTAAGTAGGTTTGACGATGATTTAACAAACGCCTCACTCGCTTTTAATATACGAGTAACTGACAAATTTCTTACCAGTATTATTTGAATTGACAGTTAATGAATACATATGCATAGTTGTATACACTTAAAGGTCGAACCTCCGAGTTTAACTTCAAAATTTAACTTTAATATTTTTCCTCAATATTGAACCTCAAAAGTTATCATTAAGCTAATGGTAGTACTTATTTTAGACAGCATGTATGCAATTGTGCTTTTATCTGGAATATTTGATAACTGATTATTTTCCAGTTTTAATTCACAACATAAATATGGCATTAAATAACAAAATAAATATCAAGTAATAGCAACAATGTACAATTAATAGTAAAGAAATTCCCAATGTAAAACTTTGAAACAAACTAATTTTTGATATACATATTCGGCAATATAGAAATGTAATTGCAAACATTTTGGTTTACCTCTATTCGAGTTTTCATGTAATTCAATATAGTATTTCGGTTTTTTAGAGGATAATTCCGCGCATTATTCAATCAGCCCTCGTATATTAAGTACCAAATAATACGTATTATATCACATTACAAAATTATGAAATTACTTGACTTTCACTTTGGCTTAAAAATATGGACAACAAAACAATGTTATAGATAAATATCATAAGAAGTACATGCATCTGTTTATACATTTATCCATCATAGATCTTGTCAGACTCAGCTGAAGAAGGCCTACCTTTAATTGGTCATACTGGCTAAGGCTTTAAGATATTGGCCATACTGACTAAGGCTGAATACAATTTTTATTAAAATGTCTGCCAAACTCCTATTGAAATATTTAAAGAATTTAAAGTCTGCCGAATTACCTGCCTTGTATATACAAGGGCAGAATGTAATTTTATCTTTAATGATATTCATTTGATTTTCAATTAAACTTCATTTTTGACTTAAGACTTATTTGTATGAAGAAATAAACAACTCGATAGAGAATAAAATAACAGAAAAAATAAAAGAGCATGTAATAACAATAACAGACGATTGGAAAAATCATGTAATTGCAGAAGAAATAGAACAAACAATATAAATGAGCATGCAATAACAGACATTGCAAAAGAAGATTTATTAACAGACAATGAGACATAAAATGCAATAACAATCAATGTGATACACATGTTATAACAGACATGACATATCAAACGCTGTGAGAAAGCATTAAAAAACAGACAATGTCATTAAAGCATATTATAACAGACAATGTGATAGAGCAATTAATAACAGAAAATGTGATAGCGTTTTAATTGATATCCTCATTGGTTTACTATTTTTTCAACAATTAAATCTATTTTATAACCAATAGCTGGTCACCTTCATGCCAAATAATCTCTTCCTGTACGATATGAAATAAGAATGATTTTTATAATGTTCATGGTGGTTTTAATCACTACTGTCTATTTTAATTTGACTTCGTCTCCTATGTCTACTTAATGCTCTGTTTAAGTACCAGTTTGATTTCATGATCATCACTTATTTCTGAGACAGCGTTTTCTTGCTTTGATTTATACTCCGCAAACTTACTTAAGAAATTATTTAATAGATCTGAATATTTTCTCTATTTCAGAATTTAACTTTGCAATTTCTGTTTTCACTTCTACTTGAAAAACACTCTTCAATCTTTACTTTGTTTCAGTAATTTTCTTTTCAAGTTCCCTTTGCTTAGTCATATTATTATTTCATTCTGTTATTTATTTTCGAACAATGACGATATTCTTCTGACAGTCCTTTTTTCATTTTATCATCTGTTTTATCAGACTTTTCCGTAAGCTTTGACAATACATTTTCCAGATACTTGAATCTTGAACAAAATGAGAAAAGATGTTTTTCAATTAATCTTTGAATTTTTTCTGTAAACAAATTGTCTCGGAACTGCAGTTGGGGTTTATCTAGATTTCCTTTCCTCTTGTGTTGCTTTATTAAAAGAATCACGAAACGAATTTTGTGTTCTGTTTTCATTTGTACTAAGAAAGGAAAGTAATGTATTTTGAGATGAATTTATATGGATCTTATTTGTTATTTTATAATAAAATTTACAGTCATAAATAGCACAACATTTTTATGATGTCCTTGAATAAAGTATTCTGTTACATGTATTTCATTTTGAAGCTCCATCTGTTCACAAATTAAGTTACTTAATGTTTATCTGGATCAAGATCATTAAAATCAATTATATCTGAATTTTAATAGAACAGAAAAGATTCTGGTTCTGTTCTAAGCAATCCTTTATGTAATTTATTTAAATCATTGATTAACTCTTGATATCTTGACTGTTTTACGTTTTAAGTATATAAATATAACTTGAGTAAATCAGAAGGTTTTTTATATATGCACAAGGTTGTTTGTTTTACCTGAACCGTAAAAAACTATATATAACCATTCTGAAACATAAGTCTGGCATAAAATGATATAGTTTCTTATAGTTATTATTGTTATATTACATTCATCAATAAATGTTAACAAAACTTTAAGAAATTAAATACAATACAAAAATGTGACAAAAACGTAAAACGGAAGGTGTGTGTAATAGAATTATAGAAAACAAGTTTTGCAGCGGTGCTAGTCATGAAATTATAATTAAATTTATCAACCTATTACTTTTGAAATCACAGAAAGATCAAAGGACCAAAAGAAGTATTAAGCTACCAGTTACCAGGGATCTAAGAACAAATATCACTTCTTCTAAATCAGTTTGTTAAAAGAATAGTACATAAATACTCGAAGAGAACCTACTGCAGAAAGAACATTAGAAGAGAACATGTTGCAGAAGGAACAAAAGTTAAACCTTCCACCTATAGCTAGACTCTTCGAAAAAAATGCTTGAGGATAATGCAAAAGAAAAAAATGTCAACTGCTAATTGATCTAAATAAACATTTTGATTTAAAATTATAAGACAAGTATAACACATCACACAATTTCCAATTAGAACTGTATTATTGAAACAGTAATTGCCAATAATAACTATACATGCGGAGATTCTATCATGTAAGTCTACTATTTTATAGATAGATTTTGCATTGTTTGTTTCTAGTTGATAATAATTCTAGTGATATCATTAGTTAAGCTGTGGAATTCTAGTTCTTTTATTGATGTTTAATATGAAAAGCGAGCTCGATGTACTTTTAACGTGAAATGGTATGAAATAATCGCTCATTTTAATATTTTACATTTTCCGTTTTAAAATTGTCATTCGTTATTTTATACACTGCTTCCGTTTATTCTGGTTCCCTGTCCTATTAAATGAATAAAATTAATGTATTTTATCATTTATGCTACGTGAATTACTTAATTTACAGGAAGAAAGACTGTTGTTTCAATGTTGAAAGAAATTTATAAGTTTGAATACATCATGCATATGAATAAAAACATCAATGATTATCTAAAATATTATCTAATGAAACTGTGTCACTGTAGTATTATATAAATACAAATAAAAAAAGATCAAGATTAAGTTGACTTTTTAGAACATTTCCTTGGCATAATTACATGACATTATTACTTTATAACTAACATTCTGACAGTAAAAGGGTTAACAATGATATATATACATGTATATAGCGATAAATATGATTAAACAACAAAAATAATGTAACTGAATATGTAAGCCCATAAACATCTAAGATAAATCATGTAAAGCCCAAACTATTTTTGACATCGCTGAAAACTTCTTAACCTTGAGCATATCTTGAAGGCACTTGTATAAAAGATCGGGACATTCTACATGCATGCTAGCCAGGAGTGCGATATCTCCACCCGTTAAACTGCTGATTCCGCACCTGTAACAGATAACAAAGGTGTTACATTATTATAACTTCAGGACGACAAGAGGATTATACATTAGAAGAATTTATACACTGACTGCAAATATAAACAGGAAAGTATGGCTGAAGGTTGATTAACAGCCAAGTTTCCGCTAAAGATTTTATCTAACAGCAGAATATATCCATCTGTGGAGAGAGTCAGTTTGTTTTTGTTTTTTCGCTGCGTATGGCATATTAATCATAAGTAAAAAGAAAACAACAAATAACAACAAGAGCTGTCTGTAAGACAGCAAATTTGACCATTCTCAGTGCTTGACAGTGAGATGAGGGGCATTACTCTGTTAAATGCATAACTCTGTTAAAAGTCAACTCAGAGATATGAGACATGTAATCAGCAATTACCTCCCTTTTGCACGCATATACTTTCGATTCAAAGCGTTGTTTAAGTATGACCTGACTGGTGGTCACAATGATCAGTTTACTAAAAGTATTAATATTAATTTATTGTTATAGATTGTTTTACTGGAATTTAAAACGTGTATCCATTTTAATGTACTTACTTCTCCAGCCCGTTCTTGCCAATCCATTGTTTAACATCGTCTGCCGTCCACTTTCTTACATTATCAATGGTTGTCTAAGATAGTAAATGGTAATAAACAGTTTGATCATAAAACCTTCATGACTTTTATATTCACGCTGACTGGCATGAGATCGCCTGTTCAGTATCCATTTTATAATTGTATATATACTGATAGGACATTAAGTCCTATAGCTTAATAAGCTACTGGAAATGAAACTTAACATTATCTTGAGAAAATTGAAATGGATTTAATTCATATATGTTTAAAGCAAACACAAATCATATACATGTACAATGTTTACTATGTCTATTCATAGTTCATTCAAGGGAAGAGACGTTTATTATTAGGGAAACTGTTTCAATATAATTTCATTGCAAGTAAAAATTTTAGATACATAATAACATCATGCAATTGTTATGTTTTTATAATATATACAAGGTTGATGTAGATATATCAAGTAATTTTCACTATTCTTAAAATAAAATCATGCATGGTGCTGTATTATATGTTTCTTATTTAGATTGTATGAAAGGCAAAACTGCTTTGTAAAAACAGTTCTTTATAAAATACCCATCCTTTTGCCTGACAGCCAAACATAATTGGTCATAAAACATGTCAAAAATCTTTATATCTTATAACATTAAAATGCTGCAGGTTTGGTACGTCGCTTTTCATTGGATAACCGAATCGTTGATATGGTTTTATAAACTCCGCTACTGCAATCCTAACAAATCACATTTCTTTCCCTCTAAACAGTGTAATTTCAAGTCTTTGTATGAATAAAAAATGTTCATATACTTATAATTGAGAACACCTTTTACCCAGTTTGTAGGATAACTGTAATTAGCCGGTATTTAGCCCTAAGGTAATCAACAAAACATCGCTAGTTAGAGGGCGGATATTAATAATGAGAAGGACACGCGAGAAAGCTATGTCAATTAAACATTCCAATGCAGTTGGTGGATGCTCATGACATCACATAAGCGGGGATTGTACCGATAGGCGAGTCAACATATTTGCTAACTGTCCGGAAACGCACATTTCAGCTATGAATTTTAGGTTAATAAATTTAAGTCGTTAGTTAAGATCTCTATATAAAGTAAGCCAAATATTACATTCAGGAGTGTCGTTATGATTCTAGATAAATGCACTTACTCAGATAAAATTAAACTAAATGGTTAAATTATGCTAAATACGCAGTTGAAATTAATTTATATTGATCTATTTATTTGTTTAAGACTTGTGAAGTTGTTAAATACATTGCTTAAACACTTGCTTTATAGAAACTTATATCTTATTCTGAGTATCAAATAAAACATAAATATGTTGTTTAAACTTGATATTGTGTTGACTTATTCATTTTGAGTTATTCAGATCTGGGCGTTACACTACAAGTTTAATTAAAGCTAAGACTTATTGTCTTCACAAACTCTAAAAACAGGCATACACCAATGCCTCAGGTGATCGATCCAGTGCCCAAATGCCTTGTTTTAAATTAATCAAGCAGCTAGGGTTATATATATATATATATATATATATATATATATATATATACAACCATCGTTTATATAGGGTCATACAACCTATCAAACACCTTTAAAACTGACTATATAGACCAATACATATCTACGACACGTGTAACCAAACATTCAACTGATTTGTCAGTCTGCCAATATGAGCCAGCGGGATAAAAAAGAGCCCTATGAATCCTAGAAACTTACAGAAGCAACCTGAGGTTTGATAATCATCCCTGAATCAGGAACATTGCCCGATCCATCTAGTACAACAGTTATCTCCTTAAGCAAGGCCGTCATCTTGACTTCAAATGGATACTTTGTACTGAACTCGAAATACAACTTGGCGCCCGCTATAAGGCCGAGCCACCCATCAGGGTCGTACCCTCTCTCCATCTTTAATGGAATAACAGTTTTGCCTAGTTTAAATGCATATTCTGCCTCTGCAATGAAAAAAAAAACTTTGGTATGCTGGTGTGCTCGACTATTCTCATTGTTTGCAAGTTAACAAGAGCCTTGACAACGTAAAGCTTCTTAATGTCAAAATAGGTCATTGTTCTATATCAAAATCGATGTTGGAGTCATGGGCATTGGATTATGGAATTCAATATCTATTATATGCTTTCAAATAAGTGTGTGAAAATTCAACTCATTTCCATTCAAAAGTTTTGGAGATACCAACTTGCACACGAAAACCATATCATACTTGAGCTAAAAACAAAATCTGAACATGATAATGCACCAGCAAATTGAAAACAAAGCAACCCAGTCACAGATAATATATAACATGTTTGACTATTCTAATGGTTAGTGAAGGTCCTGACATGCAAGGAGTCAGAGGGCGATGGGCAGTACATGATACAATGTGTGCTAGGTATCTATTTGGCTAGCTTGGTGCCATAACAAAACCATCCAATTAACAAACAAAAGGTTAAAAAAGTCAGCTATAATTCCCAATAACCCGGCTCTTAACTCAATAGTTCTCCTCTCCTTAAAGCTTATTTTATTACATATCAGTCAAGTGATAGATGTCTTCAACTGAAATATTTTTAATTTAGAAAATATCAATACGGTGGATGAATTTGTAATCCATAATTCAAAGAGCAGCGATGTATGCATGGAATTTTTGCCAGAAAAAAATGGTTAAATAGTTTGTAAAACATTAAATCATTACCTGACCTGCAAAAAAGACTATGTTTGTACTTGTCAGACATACACATGAGGAACACAGCAGCATTTTCCACACCTTTTGAAATAGCTTGGAGAGTGGATCCTCCCATCTCGTCAATATCCATCCAAACCTGAATTTACGAAGCAGCATTTTTCTAAAGGTCAAAACATACAAACACACCCTTTTTAAGGTCACATCCAAATATATGATCATCCTGTAAATAAGGGCAACTCTTCAATAAACCTTTAGTCACTGTGAATAAAGAGAAAAAGGGTAATTTAATTATAAAGACCAATTGTATATAAATGTAATGTTAGTAAAAACAACACTAGTAAGGATATTTAGTCTCGATGGTATAGTTAGGACATTTAGTACTGATGGAACCTGATGGAACAGTAAGAACAATTAGTCTTGGTGACATAGTGAAAACATTTAGTCTTGATGGCATTGTAAGACACTTTACCTTGATGTAATAGTGAGGAAACTAAGTCCATATTACAAAATTAGGACACCTAATATTGATGGCATAATGAGGACAATAAGTATCGATGGCGAAGTAAGGACACTTAATTTTGATGGCAAAAGTGAGGACACTTAGTCTTGATGATAAACTGAGGACACTAAGTCTTAATTGAATACTGACACAATATGTCTTGATGGTATAATCGGGACACTTAGTCTTAAAGACATAGTTAGGACGCTTATTCTTGATGACATAGTGAGAACATTCAGTATTGATGACATAGTGAGGTCACCTAGTCTTGATGACAAAGTCAGAACACTTAGTTTTGATGACACAGAATATTGATGGTATAATGAGGGAACTTAGTATTGTTGGCATAGTGAGGACAACATTTTAAATAAACTTTGTATAATTGAGTTTTACGTTAATGCGGCAACCTAACAACTTTAAAGTTAGTATAAGTTGAGATATTAATGAATGCGGCTATCTCCAAACTATAAACATTTTCAGCTAGAAGTGATTGTGTGGCAAATTGTATTACATCTATACCAGTTGCATTGTAAGTGTGTAACCATACCTTATATCCCCTTGCCTTGATTTTGTCTCTTACAATTCTAAGTATCTTCTGATCTGCCCATTGGTAAGAAATCATCACATGACCCCTAGATAATGTCTTCTCTAATCTATCTGTTTTATCTTTGTTATCTAACTGTTCCCCTATTCGAAATAAAAATGGCAGACTATAACGCCTTTTTCCAGCTAAATAAGTGTAATTGACTTGCTTTGAATTAGGGATAGTCCCTTCCAAATTTAGAGTATTTCAAATTCAAAGTATATATAATATATTTACTTGATTGGAGAGAATATGTATTTTTATCAAAGGTAACATGTTCACGTGGAATAAACATAAACATTCAATTTATGTAATATGTGAAAAAGTGAAAATCAAAACAATTTTCAGCGTGAAATACATTTTTGCTCTAAAATCAATTTTACTTATCTAATCGTATTTAACAATTTGTGCATTCACACTTACTTAATAAAATCAAAAACATATGCATTATTATAAATCAATTAATAAATTATTTCTATTGTATTGTGACCTCAACTTTAGCTAACAGAATATTCTTATCATGAAAGAATCGAAAGTACATGGTCTGATTCCTGCTTAGAGAAGTATGGGACAAGTTTTGAAGTCAACATCCTTTAAACCCACTTGATAATAGACGCTTCTTATTGATACGCGTCCACAGGCGTTGAGTTATTTGTGTTTACTATTTTTTTTTGTCCATGGACCCGATTTTTATCAATTAATCCCTTCAGCTAAAATAAATTTGGAATCCAGAATTCCCTCCGATTTCTATTATGTAAAGTCGTATATTGGTTTCCCCTTCAGAGATTTACAGCATGTCATATTAATGAATGAGAACGGGAACAAATTTAACGCCTCAACCGCTAGGTAGGCTGTATAAAAGACAAAACAAAATATAAACTTTAATTCGGTAATTTATTTCTTACATTTGTATCTTCTACAGGAAATAACTTATTATTTTGATTTACACAGTTGGTTACGTATGTGTTTTATTGCTGTAGATAAATTTGCAAACTATAAATAGATGACTAGCTTAACATTGTGAAACTCTCAAAATCTATTTATATAATACGTTCTTGTTTTGATTCTGAAACTAAACGGAAAGGTCATTCGTGTCGAGAAATAGGAATAAATAACGAACTGGGGGATTTTACAGGACATATTCAACAATAAATTGCACTCTTTATAATTGTATCAAAAAAAAAAAAATAAGTAGGTCACTTTAACCAATTGTTTTATTATAGTATTATTATTTTGAATTGTTTTTTTTTTCGTAGGTTCTTTCCGGTAAATTAATAGCCTCTTCAATTTTCACGGGCCCTGATTGCACTTCTGACATACCCTGACTATTTAAATCCACGTAGGGCTCTTTAAATCAAACCTGATTATCCGAATTGATGCCGTTAGAAGTTGATTGTATTTTGTTTGAATGCAATCGGTTTTAGGTGGTTTGAGTGGAATGTTAATTTGCCGAAAATTGTGACATTTGAACAACACAAACTTTCGTCTGCAGTTTTAACATGAGGATTTATGGGTTTATTGATAGGAATGGGTCTGACGAGGATTTTGAAGCAATTCAACGTAGTAAATTAGTTTATTTATAAATCATTTTACAATAGCCCTTTATTTATCACCTATACCGAAAATCTTTTATATCTTTGACTCGCACGAACATGATGTAAGTGAATTTTCTCATAAGTCTAAAATTCAGATAACAATCTACCATCAAATTGATAAATAATTTTTCACAATACAACGTGTATAACAAAATCCTGAATTTTGTCTTTTTAAAATTCATCCCAAATTTTTCATTCCATTGATTGTTCTACTTTCAAATGGGACTTGAAATATAACTACTGTACCTTAAGTCCAAGGTATTAAAAGAAACCATTTTCTTTCAATTTCACATAAAAAATGCATGTACAATTACTATATTAGTCCCCCTTTTGGAACCACGTTTAAGGCCCGTTTACTTTAAGAAAAGTACACAAAAATACAGAACATGGTATTTACATTGATACTTAGATAATGAAAATAAATATAAGACATTTTGAAGGTTTTGAAATTCATTCATTTTTACAAATACACAAGAAAAGGGCAAATGAAAAAGAAGTAAAAAAACGGCTTTGGTAGCTTTACCCTCTGCATGTACTTTTATTAGATATGAAACAATTTAATTAGATTTATTCAGCAATTTTCAAAGTCTTCTTATATTCCATATTGTAATGCAACAAAACATTCCTTTTTCTTGTCTGTTTAATGATTTTCTTTCGAAGATACTAATGGAGTTTTTTTCTTTAATTTACTTGTATAAAGAAGAGAAAAATATATGAAATAATTTTATAAGGTATAGTTTACTTATCTTTTGCATGAAAGAAAGATGTAAAATTGACATATGCTACATTTATTGCTATTTCATTTATCCATTTGAATAGATTATTCCAGAATATATTATTCCAGAATATTTATACTGTTTGGCATTCCCAAAATAGGTGCTTATTACGACAACAACAACAACAACAATCACTTTTATTTTCCAGTCAGTTTACAATAGTAACAACATGACATATAATCAATAAAAGTTTCAAACAGTATGTGGGTTTAACTTAGAACTAAGTATGATTTTTTTAGGGGGACAGTAAAATAGATTATGAAATAAAAAAAGAAAAATATACATAAATAGTTATATATGGCATTGTCATATTGACTTAGACAATTACGACAAAATTACTGTGGATTGTATGAATAGCCTCTTTTCTGAGTAAAATTACCGTGGGATTTTTTTTGCTATAATCTATAAATACAATGCGTATTTCTATAGTAGATACGATGGCACGATTTCCATGATATTGCGCTAGTTGATAAATTATAAATAATAGTACCGTCTCGTTCGGAAGTCACGTGCTATGTTTGTTGCGATTTGACTAGTTGGGACATATACAAAAATAAAAAGGTCATGTTTTGGACAAAACTGGTTTCATTGACTGGATGTATATCGATTGTTATTTTACAGCAAAAATGACAAAGACTAGATTCGGTTAATTTACATTGAAGTAGAAATTTGTTTGTTGCGATATTCCTGTGTAAAAAAATATATTGAACGTTTTGTAAAATATTATCTTTGCAATATACAAAGGTGTTTTCGTAAATAGTTTGCCATCGAAATTCTATCTATGGAAATCGTCCTTCCAAGTTTATTTGCGATTTTATTTTTAATTTTATTTTTACATATTCTTATTTGCTTTTGAATTTGTGTTAACTTTTTACTGATATTGGACGTGTTTGTTGTTGTTTTTTTCTATGATATCAAAAGTGCTTTTTTTAGGCATGAAAGCTTGATTAATTTGATGTAATTAACGTTTCCATTATTTGGACATTGATGAAGTTAATTTATAAGAAGTTAAATATTACTGTATCAGGAATGTGAAAAATAAGTTTCTGTTGGTCAAAGATTTTAAATTGTTTTGTTTCAGTGTTAAAAAAAGCTTTTATTTTATAAATATTTATACATTACATAACTATTTTTCGAAAAGAAAATAAATAAAGATCTAAAGATCCATTATTTTTTATATGAGACTTCTGTCATATTATTTGGTCGAATAGATTTTGTGGATTTTTATTAAAATTTAATATTTATTATACTCCATGACAGTAGTAATTATTTTAAGAAAGTATTTTCGATTTTAAATGTCTTTCCATAATAAATGATTTATTTCCATAATAAATGGTTATTTTCATCAAATATTCTTTTGATCCGTCTTGATTTAATCGAGATTATGAAAATTGGCAAGTCTATCAGATTTAAGCCTCCATATTTAAAGTCTTATAAAATTACACCCCTTTTAACTTTGTCACTTTTTGAGTGTCGCATGACTTCATAACAGTTTTGAGTACTTGTTTACATAACATCTCCTGGTGAATAAGAAGAATAGATATTATTAAGGTTAGTTTTATTATAATTAAGGACTTTACAATTGATATTTTACCAATTGTTTTTAAATGTCATGCCCTCCATCTATTATGTCTGCTTCAAATTGGTTTGATTTATTCTCATAATTTGGTTTGGTTATTAAGTCACATTTTGAATGGAATGTTATGCATAATGTTTTTTGCACATTCTGATGTCCAAAATATATTTGTGTATCTTTTTCTACAATAGATTAAATCATGTTGATTTCTAAATGAACCTATTCTGAGAACTGTAATTAAGTTTAAGACCAGAAAAAAAAAAGAAAATTGTTCAAATATGTTCATAGTTTCTTCAAAGCTGTTTGATTTACTATTTAATAATGTAGTTGCATCGTCTGCAAATATGCTATTTATAACGTCTACAATAAAAGTTCTTAAACCTCCAATATTCCTATTTTGTCTTAAAGCTTTTGACAAAAGTTCAATTGCTAGGATAATTATATAAGCAGATAATGGACATCTTTGTCGTACTCCTCTTATTATAGGGAATGACTCAGACAAAAAAAAAAAACATTGTAAAGTATGCAACTCGTGGGTCTTCTGTAAATGAGTTAAATTCATGCTTTTGAATTTGGTTCAAAGTTAAAAAGATCTAATCTTTTAAATATGTATTTGTAGCTTATGCTATCGAATGTTTTTTCAAAATCAGCAAAAATACAGTCCCGGTTTATCATTCTTTTATGCATACTCTATCACATCATAAAGCAATCTTATATTTTCACCTATATATCGCCTTTTGATGAAACCTGTTTGACTTTTATCAATGAGTGTATATAATAATCATTTAATTCTATTTGCGATAACACTCGTAAGTATTTTATAATCTACATTCAGCAAACTTATTGGTCGTCAGATTGAAAATATTGATAAATTTTTATTTGGTTTTGGAATAAGAGTTTTTAAACCTTGTGATTGTAACTGACTGAGACAATTCAATTCAAAAGATAATTTTAGAGCAATTATCAAATAATCTGTTAAATAATTCCAAAATATTTTATAAAATTCTATATGTAAACCATCTGAGCCCGGATTTTTTTCTAGTATTCATATCTTTGATGGCAGTTTCACATTCAGTTGGAGTAATAAATCATTCACAGTTTGTTTTTCGTTTACAATTAGTTTTGGTGTTGTTTCGCTATTGAAAATATTGTAATTTCAGGGAGTTTCGTCTTGAATGGTAAATAGATTCTCATAGTATTTTTTCTGTTTATTTGAAATGTCTGTCTGACTTGTTAAAATATTACCATTTATATTTGAGCTTTTTATAAGTTTACTTACGGCATTTCTTTTTTTCCAATCCTTTTAGTAATTTTATATTTCTTTCGCCATTATTTATTTTATAACTTTTTATTCTAGTAATAACACAATTTATATATATATTGAGTATATAAATTATTCAATTCTGCTTTTTTGATATATACATGTAATTCTTTATGCTAATTTCGTTTCTATTACTTTGACAAGTTTGCTTAGTTTTTGATGTTCAATTATCTTTTTATACTTGTTATTTATACTTGTTGTTGGTTTGTTGATTTTTTAGAATATTTAATTGTCGTGTTTCAGTAATGTAATTTTTTATTTCCTTGATATTCTTTATCAGAGAGTAAACTATTGTTTAGTTTTAAAACCCTGAGATTCTTTAAACTGAATCAAAACTGATATCAAAAATGCAACTGAATGATCTGATCTAAAGCAAGTTTTGATTCCTGTAGTTTTAACAAAATTTACTAAGTCATTTGAAACAAGAAAATAATCCAACGAGCATGATATATTTGCGTGAGATTTAAATCTCCATGTTAATTGTTTATTCTTTGGATTTTGAATCCTTAAAAGTGGGTCTGTTTGTATAATATTTGTAATTTTTTGATGACATTTTAAATGAGTAAAAACATTCCCCCCCCCC